CTAAGTTCTATAGAAACAATATTGGCTATGATTGGCTGCTGCTGTACTGTAATGGTCCAGATTCCTCTTCTTGCCTTTTAAGCAGGAGTAAATTGGTCTCACTCTTTCGGACTTGAGTGCCAAGTACCACACATGCGGAGTGGGCAGCCTTCAGATGGGAATGGTATCAGTTTGCACCAGCTGAGAAGGTCAGGAGAGGTGAATCAAGACCACTTGGCTTTAGAGATCAGCTCCTAGGCTCAGTGACATCTTTCAGATTCTAGGAATAATAATAACCTTTGGGAAAGCTATCCATGACATCATTCACACATTTAAACTAAGACACAATATCACTCCTTCCAGGTTCTTCTTTATTTCCCCCAATGTACTCTTTCTTGCAAACAGCACCTTCAGGGGCAAAAATATCCAAAAGGGGTATTTTGTGGCCCAGCCTTTGCCCCTGATTTGTACCAGAAGCATATTCCAAATTGGTGGACTATGTTATTGTTGCTGCTGTTGTTATATTTTGCTCTTCCTCCAAAATTGAGACTCAAGGTAACTTACAATTAAAAAAAAATAGTTAAAAGCATACCAAAAAAGTGAACTCTTGGAATTCTGCTATTGACAATATTGAAATGATTTTAAACTAGGCATAAAAAGATAAAATACCATTAAAGTGTTTTTAGAAACTATTAAAACAGCACAGCACTCTCAAACCTTCCTTTTGAAAAGCCCATCAACATATGATATTAATATTGAATTACCAGTGTCAATGCATAGTATGGAAATCCTTCCATAGATGTAACAAAATGTAATATTCTTATGTACTCAATTTAATCCTATTGTTAATTAAAATATGGGGGGGGGGAGAGAAAAGCCTGTCAAAATAAAAAGGACTTTTTATTTTATTTTACTTTGGCAATGGAAGGACAGCAGGGAACTCGAGTCTAGGGGCAGCCACCAAGAAGGCCCTCCCTCTCTTGTGCATCCAAAAAACATGGTTGTGACAATGTTAAGCAAATTTGCTTAAACTTGAAACACAATTATATTATATTTAGTCACTCCATTTTGCAGATATTCCCATGACTTGAAGCCAAACTTCAAAACAACAAAAAACTTTCGGTACAGATTTAAAGGAACAAAAGAACACTATACACTCAAATGGAAAGGGAAGGCCAAATCTCAAATGGCTGCTGTATTTCGGAATTCCCAAAGCAACAACTTCCTGTCGCTTCATAGTATGTCCAACCCTAAAATGGAAGTCAACGGATATGTGTTTTTTGTATAACGGTTGAAAAGTACAGCTAAGTGAGGCTCAAAATATTGTCCCAGAAAGCTGATCTCTCTCTCCTTCTCAAGATAGTGCTGTTTTGAACAAATTCTGGAAGTCGAAAGAAAAACTTATCTATTCAGGGTGACCATAAATTGCACGTGAAAAGGAAAACAAATACAGTACACAGGGCATGTAGGTACATTTAGAGTCCACATCGTGGCAATACCTTTATTATACCAACAAAAAAGGCACCAGCTTCTCTGTGTAAGCTCTGTCTAAGATCTGTGTAAGCATGTTTCTCCAACAGGAAAAGATGGTTTCAAAGTATTCAGGATCAGGAGAAAGGAATGATGATGTTTGAGACTAGTAGTATCCATGTCATCTTGAGATGGTAGAGGAAAGTTCTGCAGATGATCAAGGTGGGATTATCAGGTCCCCTCCCTGTGGACCTGGGGCTCTTTTATGTTACATAATAATAGCATTATGATTGCACTTTAGCTGTCATAGCAACACCCTATGCAAACCCATAACCCCACCACCACCACCACACACACATTTCACAGAATAAAACTGGGACACGCATGGCCAAGCAACATCAGTGTGTGGTCAAGATGGCAAAAGTTATTAATGAGGAAGAACAAACAAGCTAGGAGAGGCTACAGCAGCTTGCTTTTGCCTGACCTTACTGGGAAGGGCAAGGTTCTGCCTTCTCTTTTCTTCTTCCCCTGCCAAGTTCATTAAGCACAACAACTTTTGCACTTTGATCCAGTCTGCAGCAGTTGAAGTAAACTAAGGACAAAAGGGGGGAAGTGGGGAAAAGCTAGAGAAAATGGGACATTTTAATAACAGCTGAAAGAGTGGGATGGCAGAGGATTAATTGGGTCTGTCCCTCCCAAATCAGGATAGATGGAAGGTGGGGAATCCTGGGGGTTGCAGTTTGCAGGGGTACTAGGAGCTCTATGACTGAGAATCCTACATAAGCATTCCTAAACTACAAAGTCTCAGATTCCAGAGGAAGCTGCCATGGCAGTTAAAGTGGAAAGATTATATTTAGGTCATGTAAAAGGGCCTTTGATCTCAATGGGGAAAAAGAAAGGCAGTAATACATGTGCAATAAATTTTCATTCTCCATTGGAAAACACCCCAAAATTCCACTGAAAACCCAAACTAGTCTCTATTGTATGCTAAGCTCGCCAGACCTTTTGTAGGAAGAGGCTTGCCGTTACTCTGTCAGAGCGTGAGATAAATTTAGGTGCTGGATCATGCAAACCCTGATGATAGGAACCACTAGGTAGCTTTATCTTCAATCTACTTGGAGCAGATCCACTGTGACTAAGCATCAGCCCTACAGCTTATTACTGTGAAATCTGGATCCAATTTCATTATTCATTCATTAGATTTCATTATTGTGAAATCTATATCCAATCCAGAAAGTTCTCCATGTCATTACTCATTCCATTTCCCCCTATCTAGCACTGTTACAAGCATGTCTAAACACCGTAATGGCACCAGGTCCTATCTGATCTTGGAAGGTATCCAGGATCAGCCCTGGTTAGTACTTGGATGGAGACTGCCAACAAATACCAGGTGTGGTAGGTGACATTTCAGAGGAAGGAATCGGCAAAACCATCTCTGAGTATTCCTTGCCTAAGAAAACCCTATGAAATTTATGGGGTTGCCATAAATTGACAGATGACTTGAAGGCACATACAAACAATAAACAACATTGTTACAGAACGGCATACCCTCCAACTATCTTGATTTGGCAGTTTTCAAAGAGGTAGCAGTGTTAGTCTCTTGCAGCACAGATGAAGAAAATGTGGAAGGAAGGGAGAGAAAAGAAATGTGTCAGCACCTCTAAGACTAAGGTCCAAAACACACTGAAGAAATAATCCAGTTTGAGACTGCTTTAATTGCCCTGGGTTAATGCTAGGGAATTCTGGAAACTGTAGTTTTGTGAGACATTTAGCCGCCTCTGTCAGAGAGCTCTGGTGCTACAATAAACTACAATCCCCAGGCATCCCAAGTATTGAACCCTGGCAGTTAAAATGGTGTCAAACTGGATTATTTCTGCAGTGTATATTGGACCTAACTAGATTTTATTTTTGCATGAGTCTCCATAGATATAAATCCACTTCTTTGGATGCAGTAATGTGTGGTATTAAGGCCTCAGGCATAAAGCATATTTATGCAGTGGCAGAAGTGGGATAGTATGTAATAGAATCCAGAAAGATGACCCATGTCTTAAATTTTCAAAGAACTGAATAAGGTGATACAGGTCTTTCACATCTTTACAATGGTCAGTTAGTGTTGATGTGCGAAAGCAATAAATCTGCTTACCAAACTTGTTAAGCAGCACTTAAGCTGTGACCATAGACTTCATACCAGGGAACTCAGTGGACCTTACTTCTAAATAGGCAGATTTAGAAGAACCGGCATGGTGCAGTGATTTGCGTATTAGACCAGGGGTGCATCTATAGTGTAGAAATAATGCAGTATGACACCACTTTAAGTGCCATGGCTCCATCCTATAGAAGCCTGGGATTTGTAGTTTTGTGAGGCACCAGCACTCTTTGGCAGAGAAAGCAAAAGACCTTTTAAAACTTTTTTAAAATCCAAGGATTTCCATAGGATGGAGTTACAACACTTAAAGTCCTGTCAAACTGTATTATTTCTACAGGGTAGATGCAACCTAGAATTGTAGGAGTCCCCCTGCAACCAACACAAAACTCTGTTTTTCTAGCCCTCTTTCAACATCTTCTCAGTGCCAATGCAGGGAAAAGAAATCTACCAGCTAGGCAGAGGACAAGGAGGAAAACTGGGCTGGGCTTCTTTGTCAGATGCTTTGCTAACTGAGGTATGTCTATTATTGTTGGCTCAAGACTACAGTACTTTCCTATAGAGTTTACTCACTACTGCTGTTTTACAGTTCCTTCAGACTAGCAAATATCTCACTGGTGCAGCAATGTCCCATTCTGGCACCCTCCGGACATTGGCAGGGGATCATGAGAATTATACTCTAATCCTTCTAGAGAGCTCTTTCGTTATTTAATCACATATAACTACGCATCTATTGTTGCAGTGCTTTTCTGGGCAAGATTTGTGCAGAGGGGGTTTGCCTTTGCCTCCCTCTGAGGCTGAGAGTGTGTGACT